TGCCATATACCATGTTAGCCGCTGCCATGGATTTATTCCTGACAATCAAAATCATTATGGTTAAAACATTTTTTTTACAAAAATCGTGATTTCATGAGATAGATATGTCATTAATAATTTATGAACCAAAATGGCTGAAATATTACATTTAGGTAGCAATCAATATATGGTCTAAGGTCACGTTTAATATAAAAACCCAAGACAAGATCCTTGAAAAATGTAAACCCATCCCCTGCAGCTACATTTTACAGAATCTTTCGTTCCATGATTGTTTAATAATGTTCTTCTGAGATTTCGAGCGTAGAAAACAATTAATAATTTTTTCCTTAAAATAATAATTTTAAATTTATTGTGCCCAGTAAGATTAGAGTACGCTCGTTCAAAGTCTACTATAGAGCTGCAAGCCCAGAGCGCAGTCAAAGGGCCTTAGCTCCATGAAGCTTAAAGTCCATTACGGGTCAAATAAATCGTAAGAATAAGTTTAATTGATTAAAGAAGAAGAAGAAAATCTCAATAAGAATAAAAATAAGCAGATCTTATTTTATTAAATAAAAGACATTCCACTGAATAATTAGACGTTCCTCTCCCATCAAAATTACAGATTAATCAATGCAATAATCGTTTTACTAATCTAAAGACATACTAAAATTCATAAGCCATTTTGACTTAAACTAATTAATGAATAACGTGAAGGGAATGCTGTAAGGCTTCAGCGTTAGCCGTGGCCGGCAACTTCATTGTTTCTAGTTTGCAGTCAACTGATTGGAGTTGGGCAGTAGTGTTGTTATTGTGAATAGAAATATTCCTGGTGATAAGGTTGAGCAACACGCGTTCAAAGTCCTCCCCATTGCTCCATTCCCATATCTGTGCCTTTATTAGGCTCCTGTTTTTGCAAATCAAGTCCCAAACCGGGAAACCCTTCCTTGGCATTACATAGTCTCCATCACCAAGCTTCAAACTTGGGCAGAAATCACCAAGTCCGTCTCCAAGGTAGATTATCGTTTTCTTCTGGTCCTCCGTCGATTGAGAAGCTTGTATCTTTTCAATCACAGTACCCTACATTTCAGGAAAATAATTAAACCACGTATATTTAATCAACTACATGGAAAATAAGTTAAGATGATAACATGAGATAAGTTGCAGCTAATCTCACTTGGGAGTTTAAATTTGAAAAACTTTTTATATATACCTTGCACATATTAGGAGGGCAGCTGGGATGAACGCATCCATGAGAAGATTTGGGGAAATCATGGTGAGGGAATATCCTTAGCCTGCCTTCTTCATCCACAAAACCAGGGTTTGTATGGATCTCCGAGAAACATTCTTTCAGGCCACAATGTTTCAAAACTGTCTGGATGAAGAACGTGTTTGCGTCGCTCACAATCTTCAAGTCACATCTGAAAAACAACAAAACTCTTAGTATTTTTCCATAAGAAAGTTGAAATATAAACCAAGAAGAGAGAAGAGAGTATCGATAGTCGATACCCTAAAGCATGAGCCGATTTAATGGCTTCGATGATTCGAGGGTGTATAGGGGTTCTTTTCAAAACAGCTACAATGTCCTCAATTCTGGTTCCTTGCGAATGAAGCTCTTTCATCATTCGATCCTATAATAATTTATCAACGATTAATTGGTTGATTGGAAATAAAGAAAAACAACTAGAAATGAACGTGAAAGACAATAAACCAAAGACTAACCATGAGAGAGTTCCATGGCATTGTAGGAAGAAGTTGTTCGAACAATTCGGTGGCGCCTAACTCATCCACCACCCAATTATCGCTATCACAATCGATAATCGTTTTATCGAAATCGAAAACAACAACAATGCTTGAACCTGCCATTTGGGATTGATATTATGAACCAAGGAAACACGAAAAGGTTACGATCGGAAGTCTTAGGTATTTGATTGAGGGTTTACACTTTCAAATTATGTGATCTATATAGAAGGAATGATATGGTATTTATAGATGGATGAGATGCCTTTGCCCCCAAGCATCCTGGGTGATGAAGATGAAGGGCTGTGATTTGTTGACAATGGTGTTCCTCGTGCCACGAAAGTTCTTAAAGGAACCGATTCCCCCCCCCCCAAAAAACACTTTTTTCCTTTTCTGCGGTGGAATATTGACCTTCGACTTGCTGACCGTTCAAAGATCAAAAAGGTAGTCAATATGGTAAGACAGACTAGTTTAATACTGTAACTATATTTTTGTAATTTGCAAACCTCTCGTGGCATAAAAGGCTGGAATATTCGGAATATGCCACGTCATATTCCCTTAAAAATGAAAAAAAAAACAAATAAAATGTGTGGGAAATGTAGCCTATTACAAGGATGTTTATTATAACTCTCAACTTACTTTATATCATGTTTAATCTAAATTTATATTATTTTATGAAAATTTCATATGATCTGTCTTTTTATTACGTATCAAACAAAGTACGTGAGATTAAATGTGTTTAAACACTTGCTATTTGTTTATGAATGCAATAGAAATTGATCAGCTGTAAACATTATATTATTTAAAAAAGTAAATAAAAATTAATTTAGAAAAATGTTAAAAATATAATTTTAGACATTTATTTTAATTATTTTTATTTTACATAATCTGATGATTAAAAAATTACGATAATTTGGACTTCAGTAAAGTGATCCAATTTTCTAATGTAATAAAGGGTGAAAAGAAAGTGAAAGTAAGTTCTGCTTTATGGTACTTATATAAGATAATGGGTGCATTTGTACGACTTTCAAAGCTCTAAAAATCATATGTACCCAAAAAAAAAAGCTGTAAATATTATAAAATTAGAGTAGGTATAATGATATTTTTACTTTTTTCTAAATATATTTTAATTTTTTTTTTACTTTTTTTGGTTTTTTATCTTTTGATTTTTTCCAGTAGAATCAATGGATGAAAAAAATAATAATTTTATTAAGATTAAGTCAGTCATTTTATATCTTTTCGTTTTCAATAATTTTATATATTTTCACATTTAATATTTTAAATATATTTTAAAAAATCTGGTCATTTTACGTAAAATAATAACATATTTGATAGCAATATTAACAAAAAATACAATATAATTTATATTAGTATAACAAATTTATTATTTTTCTGTCCGTTATAAAAAAAGTCAAAAGTTTAAAAATAGAATTTTTAAAGAACTAAAATGATTTTTTTTAAATGTTTAAAGGTCAAAAATACTATTTGACCATTATACCATTACACTATCGCTCAATTGTTTGACGTTTTTCTACTATCAAAACTAAAGACTGAACATCAGTAATTTTAGAAAGCAAAAAGACATCAAATACATCAGCCTTTCTGATTTCAACTAGTTCTAATGAATAACATGAAGTGACTGGCGGAAGGCTTGGGGGCCATTTGCGGCCGGCAACTTAATCGTTTCTAGCTTGCAGTCAACTGAATGGAGCTGTCCAATGTCGGCACTATTGTTGTTTTTGTGAATGGAAACATTCCTGGTGATAAGTGGAGCAACACGCGTTCAAAGTCCTCTCCACTGCTCCATTCCCATATCTGTGCCTTTATTAGGCTCCTGTTTTTGGAAATCAAGTCCCAAACCGGGAAACCCTTCCTTGGCATTACATAGTCTCCATCACCAAGCTTCAAACTTGGGCAGAAATCACCAAGTCCGTCACCAAGGTAGATTATCGTTTTCTTCTGTCCTCCGTCGATACAGAAGCTTGTATCTTTTCAATCACAGTACCCTACATTTCAGGAAAATAATTAAACCCCATATATTTAATCAATTACATGGAAAATAAGTTAAGATGATAACAAGAGATAAGTTGCAGCTAATGTTAGATTTGTCTAGAAATTAAGTTGACAAGTTGAAAATTTCATCTTGGTTGGTGGCCAACTTATTGGAAATTTCATCTTGGTTGGTGGCCAAACTTTGAACATGTGAATTTCATATTTGGTGGCTAACTTGTACACATTGAAAAAATCTTTGGTAGGTGACCAAACTTTGAACATATTGTTCTTGAAACTCAACTATAAATAGGCCTAAGTATTTTCATTAGAAATCATCCCAAAAACAAGTTTTCTCTTCCTCTTGTATTCTTCATTCTCTCACTTTGGGAATTCCAAAGAATTCCATTTGTTGTAATATTGGCGATATAGTGAAGTTATCATCCGGTGTGGTGCCCGAGGAGTAGACAATATTCTCGTCAAACCTCGTAAATTTGGTGTGTTCTCTCCTTTATTATTTTTTATTCGGTTATTTTCCATTATGTTTCAATATTCAATAGTTTGACATGTTTATCCGTTGTGTAACCTTTGGTGGTTTTAATCTTGACATTTTAGGTCAATTTTAAAACTACGTTCGTGTGGGAAATAACCCGTTTTCCCCAACAATTGGTATCAGAGCTTCGGTTGAGGTTATCCTGGTGGTTCCGTTGCTGAAAAGATACAGTTCGTGATATTGAATATTGTTCGTTAGAATTAAAATGCCAAAATACGAATCAGTTGAAACATCAAGCTCTTCATCTGGACCGGTGAGGAGGGTAATGTCAAATGCAAATTTCTCGGTGGAGTTATTCGATGGATCCGGTCATTTTGACATGTGGCAAGGCGAGGTGTTAGACGCTTTATTCCAACAAGGTCTAGACATCGCCATTGAGGAAGAAAAACCCGAATATATGGAGGAGAAAGAATGGGGAACAATCAATCGTTTGGCGTGCAGCACGATTCGATCTTGTCTTTCCAGGGAGCAGAAGTATGGCTACAAGAACGAGACTTCTGCAAGTAAGATGTGGAAAGCTTTGGAGGAAAAATTCCTGAAGAAAAGCTCTCATAATCGTCTCCACATGAAGAAAAGATTGTTCAGATTTGATTATCAACCAGGCACCAGTATGAATGAACACATCACTGCGTTCAATGAGCTAGTGGAAGACTTATTGGGCATGGATGAAAACTTCAAAGATGAAGATTTGGCTTTGATGTTGTTGTCATCTCTTCTAGATGAATTTGAGCACCTTGAGACAACGTTACTTCATGGTAAGGATAATGTTACCCTTAAAGATGTAACTGCTGCTTTGTATAGTTATGAACTCAGGAAGAAAACCAAGAAGGAGAGTAAGTACGAAGCAGCAGAGGCCATGGTGGCAAGAGGTCGCTCGAAAAGTCAAAAACCAAAGTGGAGAGGGAGATCAAAGTCGAAGTCCAGACTGGGAAAAGATGAATGTGCCTTTTTTCATGATAAAGGCCATTGGAAGAAAGATTGTCCGAAGCTGAAGAAGAAAGGAAAAACTGCTCCAGATGCATGTGTTGCAGAGCATGATGCACATGACTCTGATATATCATTGGTTGCTTCATCAACAACATTCCATTTCGATGAGTGGATATAAGATTCGGGTTGCACCTATCATATGTCCCCTAATCGGGAGTGGTTCTCCGATTTAGTGGAACTAAATTCAGGAGTTGTTTATATGAGCAATGACAATGCCTGTAAAATTGTTGGGATAGGTTCAATTCGATTGAAGAATCAAGATGGATCAACAAGAGTTCTGACGGATGTCCGATACGTGCCCAGTTTGAAGAAAACTCTCATCTCGTTGGGAGCCTTAGAATCCAAATGCTCAGTAGTCACTATGAGAGATGGAGTTTTAAAAGTCACATATGGCGCACTTGTGAGGATGAAGGGCATCAGGAAAAATAATTTGTATTACTACCAAGGTAGTACAATTATTGGAGCAGTTGCAGCAGCTTCCAGAGGTGATGATTTGGACGCAACCCAGTTGTGGCATATGCGGTTGGGATATACTGGAGAGAAATCCTTGCAAATTCTGGCAAAGAAAGGATTGTTGAAAGGTGCAAAGGCTTGCAAATTGAACTTTTGCGAGCATTGTGTTCTGGGAAAGCAGAAGAGAGTGAAGTTTGGCACCACTATACATAATACAAAAGGTATTGTAGATTATATTCACTCAGATGTATGGGGTCCTTCAAAGACATCATCTTTGGGAGGAAACCATTATTTTGTAACTTTTGTAGATGACTTTTCCAGAAGAGTTTGGGTGTATCCAATGAAGTCTAAAGATGAAGTGCTTTAAATTTTCCTGAAATGGAAAAATATGATCGAGAACCAGACTGGTAGAAAGATCAAACGTCTTAGGACGGACAATGGAGGGGAATATAAAAGTGACACATTCTTTGACGTTTGCCATGAGTATGGTATTGTTCGACACTTCACTGTTAGACATACACCATAACAGAATGGGGTGGCAGAGCGTATGAATCGAACACTATTGGAGAAAGTTCGATGTATGTTGTCTAATGCTGGGTTAGGCAAGGCATTTTGGGCTGAGGCTGTGACATATGCTGGCCATCTCATTAATCGTCTGCCGTCATCAGTGATAGGAGGAAAAACACCATTGGAGGTATGGTCTGGAAAACCTGCTACTGATTATGATTCCTTACATGTATTTGGATCCACTGCTTATTATCATGTGAATGAATCCAAGCTTGATCCGAGAGCAAAGAATGCTCTCTTTATAGGAATCACCCATGGAGTGAAGGGATTCCGCCTTTGGTGTTTAGACACCAAGAAGATAATTTGTAGCAGAGATGTTACCTTTGATGAATCTGCCCTAGTAAAGAAGGTAACAAGTGAAGCTGTCCAGACAAGTAGTACTCCGCAGCAGGTGGAGCATACTCCAAAACAGGTGGAGTTTCAGCAGATTATGATCCCAGAAGTTGATGCATCTGATTCTTCAACTCCAATAAAAGAATCAGAAGATGAAGAGGTTCAAACCCAAGAACCATTGGAGACACCAGAAACACTTGCAGTTACAAGGCCAAGGAGAGAAATTCGTAGACCTGCTCGATTTGTTGATATGGTGGCCTATGCTCTTCCAGTTGTTGATGATGATATCCCTATCACTTACCAAGAAGCAATACAAAGCTTGGAAAGTGA